TATTTTAATGGAAGAGAAACACCTAAATAAAAGAAAGTGACAAAGCAAGGTCTGTGAAGTACGTACTATAACAGAAGGCAGAGAAGGTGTGGTGAGCATATAGCAGGGAGTCAGAAGAGATGGAGGCTGAATATGGCTTTTGACTTGAGCCCTAGAAGATTAAAATGACTTAGGAGACTTGAGTGCTAGGGAAAATGAAATAAAATGACAAAAGCATGGTATAAAAAATTATATATATATGTATGGATCCCTACTTCAAGCACACGCACTTCCCATGCCTTACCACATACTAAACGTATATGTGTATGTATATATTAGTGCGTGCTGAAAGAGTTTATGAAGAATCTTAGCGCTGTAAAAGCTTGGTCTGGTTGTTAGAAAATGCTTCCTGCTCTCTCTAAGGACTGCACATCTCACTGGAGACTCCAGTGGACTCAGGGGGATCAAGATAAGGCTAGTGACATGTAAGTGCAGGTGGAGGAAAGACCAGCACATGAAAGCTGCCAATAAACTTGACACCCAGAGACTGACCCACGGGGATCATCCTCCTGTTAAGCAAAGAGGCATGAATTAAATTAAACATGCATGGGGAGAAAAAAACCCACGCTTTCCTACATTCGAAGGGAGGATGTTATTTTGTTTCACAGTGAATTTTTATATTCACACCAAAAAAACTTGAAATGATCCACTTACAGAAGACTTCTAAAATGTTATCACGAGCAGATCAGCGCCCACGCCCTGCGTGCCAAGCGTGTGAGCCCTCCTGCAGGCACACGTCGGAGACTCCGAGCAGCCGGTTCCAGCCCGGTTATTCCATAACAAGGAAGCAAATATTGCAAGAGAGCAGGTCAGATGAATGTTGTGGTTTCCCGGTGTGTATAAAAGCTGTGTTTACGCTATGCTGTAGTCTGTCAAGTGTGCAATAGCATTATGTCTGAAAAAACAATGTTTGTAGCTTAATTAAAAAATGCTTTAATACTAAAAAATACTTAGCCATCATCTGAGCTTTCAGTGAGTCATAATCGCTGATCACAGATCACCGTAACAGATATAATAATGAAAAAGTTTGAAATATTGTGAGATTCATCAAAATGCGACAAAGTGAACAAATGGTGCTGGAAAAAAAATGGCACCGATAGACTCGCACGACTCGGGGTTGCCACAGACCTCCGATTTGTGAAAAAAGGCAGTATCTACAAGTATCTGCAAAGCGTCATAAAGCGAGACATAATACAATGAACTGCTCCTGTCCTGGCTTTATCTGTCCTGTAAAAAGAATCTTTAGGACTCTAACATGGGTTCCCTCTGAAGACAAATTTTTGTTATCAATCTGTTCAGCTCTTTGCAAGGGCTTCCAACCGGTTTTCATGACTAAGACCACAGGCAGGTGAGGGCAAGAACGCATTTGTCCTCATTCAAACGAAGATCGTGCATAGACACAGTCTCCTTCAGTTTGGGGGAAACAGAGAAACTCATTATGTTGTTCGATGCCAAAGAAGAAATAGGCTCTAGGCAGTTAGCCAGAACCTGGTGACCTTTTCCAGCAGCACCCGATAAATGAATGTGTGTGCATGGGGCGTACAGGCTTGGGTGTTCCTCCTCGGCAGGTGACGGTCTGTCACACACCTGGGAAGCCTGGTCCTTGGGACAGCGAGCGGCCCCCCAGAGGGGAGACCCCAGCGTGGCTCGTGGAAACTGCCCTTTGCACCTCCCTTCAGATCTTCAGACCACGGCTATAAGCGTGCAGAGGCATGAAAAAGCCTGGATCAAACTCTAGCTCTACTAGGCATTGACTGGGTGTGTGGCTGTGGACAAGTGTTTTTCTTAACCTCTCAGAGGCTCAGTTCCCTGCCCTGTGAAAGTGAGAGCAATAATGGTTTGTAATTCGTAGCACTGAAGGGGGCGGGGTGGTTCTTGCAAGCGTGTGTGTGAGGAGCTTCTCACGTTCCCGGGGACTCAGGGCTTAGGTGGCTGGGATCAAACAGACCGGGCTGACTCTCCGTCCTGTCCTCGCACGCCTGAGCCTCAGTGGGTTGGAGACTGAACACTATCCCCTGCTTGACACGTCCCCACCCAGTGCTCAGACCCCAGAACTCATCACAGCACAAGGATCTTCTGCAAATGACCTGGGCTTTGAGGCCAGGGCTGCAAGAAGAGGGGTGCGCCTGCTGTCCTGAGCAGTGCCCCACATTGGACTAACCTGTCTGGGGGATGCTCTGAGGACGGTGGCCCCTTCTCAGCCCTTCCAACAGATTGTTGGTGCCCAGCCCAGAAAACAGATGTCGGAGACCCATGAAAAGACAAGACTCAAATTCAGAAGGACAGCAAGAGAGGGATTAGAACATTACGTACACCCGGAGTGAAATAAGGGGAAATAGATGAAATTCACGGGACTTTGAATTAAGTTTGGGACGTCCTTGCTGCCCTGTCCTGTTCCTCTAAAAGCACAGCCCTCTCCCAGGCTCTCCCTCCAGAGGCTCAAGCAGAGACCCCGCCCGGGGAGGCCCCCCAAGCTCGCTGGCCCCTCAGCCTCCTGTCCGGCGTCCTGCTCTGGGGGCAGCCTCATCCGTCTCCTCTGAGTGCCTTGGTGCTTTCAATGCCCCGAGGCGCCGGGCAGCTGGAGGCTACGGCGGTCACCCTGGGCCACGGCTGAATCGGTCCCGTCGGTGAATGGATGTCCACAACGGACCGCGTCGTACATCTGTTCGCAGCGGGCAGGGAACGGAGGGGGCCCGTGCTGGTCAGTAAAACAGTCACCCAGTGGGAAGAGTCCTGCTTCCAGACGAGTAAGGAGGACGTGCCTTTTCCTGGTTTGCTGAGGGCACCTTGGGGTTTGGCTAAGTCCCCGGAGGAGAGGCGTGCTGTCGCAGGGCTCGGGGGTATCCCCGAGAGAAGGCTGCGCCGCCGCAGACCCACTACAGCACCAGGGAGCTCCGTCTTCTTCCTCCGGCTCTGGGGGACCTGGCCTGCCCCCGTTCTCCTAGATGTGCCAGAAACTGGAGCAGAAGGAGGAAGAGCTCCACATCCCAGTGTCCCGCTTAACCATTCGCCTTAAAAGGGTGGGGAGGACAGTGAAGTGCGGTGACAGGTAGAAGGTGCCTAGCAGGGGGCTGACCTGGAGACCCTCAGCACCACGCCTTCCTGCCTGCCCCCCTCTGCCTCCCCGCACCCACCACGTCTCCTCGCTAACAGCCTTGACTCCTCAGCCTCAGACCAGATAGACCCCCACTGCCCCCCGCATCCGGCCGCCTGCCCAGCCCTGTCCACTGCACGGCCCGGCGTCACTATGTATCGCAAGGGGACACGTGCAGTGGGTGACGGCTGCACTTGGTAACCCGTTTATGTAATCCTTCCTGCTTTGCTTGCGGTTATTTTCAGGGCTTTAGCAGCAATAAAGTGCTTCCTTTCCCGAGACGCAGTTCATTCAATTTAAATCTGCATTGATTATAGCTAAACTTAGGACATGTCTTTACAAAGGAAGGAAAAAACAGCAATAAATGATGCACAGAAATTATTCAGCATTTATTCAGCACCCACTCCCCCTGCCCCCCACTCCCAGTGTCGCAGGCTCAGCAGGTAGCAGTGGGGGGAAAATTCCCTGCCCTTGAGAATCAAAGCCTAGTCGCACATAGGAAAGGCTCTCAGGGCAGGGCATCGATCCAACTGCCATTAATTCCTTATTCAAGGGGTCACCCGGCCATATGGACTTTCCGCTGACTTCATGGTGTCAAGGGGACTCTTCATCCACCTGCACCTTCTTTGCTTTTGGTTTCCCTCACGGGCGCTCTCCCAACAGCATCCTTAGCCTCTGGCTTCTACCCCAAAAGAGCACTCTCACTGCTCCTCACGCAGTTTGGGTTTAAGACCAAGACCCTTGCAGGGGCTGGAGTCCAGAGTAAGCCTGCTGCTGTCTGCCCAGCCTTTGTGGGATTTCTCCTGTGCCCGCCCGGCAGGTGACGAGGGAGGCACTCCAGGGCGTGGTCAGAGGGCTTGCACGCCAAGTGCATGGAGGATTAGGTGCCTTTTTGAGAACGTTGAATGTAACCTACGTAAATACGATAATATAAATTTAATCCAAGTAAATATCTGTGACTTGAATTTGGAAATCGAGGGTGCTGCTCTTAATTCACAGAAGTCCCAGTAACCATTCCCCCTTGACAATGCCGACATAATCAGCATTGACTGAGTGCCAGGCACACTAGATTCAGTCTTTCAAATATGGCTGTGAAACAGGTAAAGATGAGGCAGAGGTTGGAAGCAGCCGGGTGACTTTCCAGCTCCCGGGAGGCAGGAAGCTGTGGCTTGGCTTCGGAGCCCAGGCTGTACCCTCTGGGCTCTGCCACCGTCCAGGACCCAGCGCACAAACACGCATCATCTGCACAGCCCCCAAATGCCATTTTCTGGGACGTTTTGATTGACCTTGGAGTTAAAATGAAACTAAAACCTTCTTCTTCTTCACACTCCGCTGTAAAATTTCATCACCAGCTAAACATAATAGAGTAGCGGTCCCTAATGGGTCCCTGATAGAATTCAAATTATATTTAAATAATGGTTTGGAATTCAGGTTTTATTTAGAATCAAGAGCTGATTTATTTTGGTGGCTTTTTTTTTTTTAAGATAAAGGCAGTTATTTTAAATTGCTGGACATTTCATTTTCTTTCCTCAGAATTCTTTTTGTATATTAAAAAAAGGTATAAGGAAATTTGAACCAAGATAAAGATTTAGCCAAGTTTTTGAGAGTTTTTTTGTTTGTTTGTTTTTCCTTTGTTGTTGACTATTTTATGTATTATTAGTATTATTATTATTTTGGAAGAGCAGATGGGATCAAAAGAGAATCAGATTTTCCACCTTCCAGGTTAGGTTCCTAACTGAGACCCCGAGGACAGATTCGATCCCTGCATTAAGGTCACCTCACAGCATCTTCCCACCCCTTCCCAAAGCGCCTGCCGGAGTTCTTGCTCCGGGTCGTGTGCTCGCTCACTCCTGTGTGTTTCTTGCAGTCGACCTGGACAGGCTCAACGATGACGTCAAGCGCTACAGTTGCACTCCCAGGAATTACTCCGTCAACTTGAGAGAGGAGCTGAAGCTGACGCACGTGGTCTTCTTTCCCCGGTGCCTCCTTGTGCAGCGTTGTGGGGGCAACTGTGGCTGTGGGACCATCAACTGGAAATCCTGCACGTGCAGCTCCGGGAAAACCGTGAAAAAGTATCATGAGGTATGTCCTTCTCACATGTCCGTGCTGCAGTGCTGCAACACAATGTCATGTAATCCGTAGGGTGCTGGACGAACGGGACATTGCGTACAGTTGTTCAGGTTGTTCACTGCACAAAGGCACCCAGCCAGAGGGATGCCTGGGAGCCGAAATTATACATGAGCTAAAATTGCCAAGCCAAATGCCCCCGAGAGGTTAAGTCCTTCCTGAAGGATGAACTCTTTTTTTCTGTTCTTTTTTTTAAAATATTTATTTATTCACTTGAGAGAGAAAGAACAAGAGCACGAGTGGGTGGGGGGGGGTCAGAGAGAGAGGGAGAAGTAGACTCCTCACTGAGCGGGGTACCTGATGCGGGGCTCAATCCCAGGACCCCAGGATCATGACCTGAGTCGAGGCAGACACTTAACCGACCGAGCCAGCCAGGTGCCCCTGGACTTTTTCCTAATCATCATAATACAACCTGTGGGACAACATCCTTGTTAGATTATATAATCAAATGCATGACACAGTGATTCAGAGCTTACGTGGCTTCTTTGTAGTAATATGATAGAATTCATAAAGACTATCACTACAAAATCTAGGTTGCTTTAAGAAAATTCTAAGGGCCAAACTTGAATTCAATCAAGTCCTTAAGAAATTAAGCAGAGTCAAGACAGCAAAATGTAAATTGACAGAAAATATTTATAGTTGAGACTTTTTAATTCTCTAAATATGATATTCTTTTTCTTCTAAAAATACCAATTTTTCCTAAATACTGCTGAGTGCTACCTGGGGAATCAGCCATGAAAGTATGCAAAAATAAACAAAAGTAAATATGAAGATCAAAGAGGAACAAAAGTTTAAGGAGAGCAAGTTTCTGCAGAGAGCAGAACTCTGTGTTCCAGAGTCTGTTCTTATCACTAGTAACACTGTGATTTTTCCTTTGTAAACACATAGCACTTTATTGAGCATTAAAGAAAGAGTAGATTTAAGGGGAGTCAGGGCTGCTCCTGACCTCGGCAGCAGCTGTTACTTGCCAATCGTGGGAACATTTGTAAGTCACAAAATTTAGAGACTCGGTTTTCACATATGTGAAATGGGACTAAGAAATTATATCAGATAATCACTTATAAAGTGGTTCTGGGGATTGAATAAAATAGTGCATATGGAATGCATTTTCTAAGATGTGAAACATCATACAGAAATGTGTTTAAGAATATAATCTAAACAATGAAGCAGACATTATCATTAGAAATGATTGTTTGAGTTGCTTTTCCTCTGTACTCAAAACAAAGAATAGAGAGTGCTCCCTAAATAAAGCCTTCAGCTTTGTAAAACTGGGTGGTGGGTTGTTTTTTTTTAAATCCTAAAAAACAATAAAACAATATGAACAAGTTTAAGGAGGTGACTTTGGAGTTAAAAGAGAATGGATAGGTCATAACTGGTATTTTCAACTTGGGAAGTGTAAGAAGTCAAATGCCGCAGTGACCATGCTTACCTTACATGGGGAAACACATTATTTTAGACCTACATAAAGCTTATTTTCTTAGTCATAAGAATTCCTTACTCCACCCTGCAATTTTCCAGGGGAAAAAAATGTTCTCATATCCAGAGAATGCTATAGTCTATGTTCATTGTGTTTTATTTTTGCATGACCTGATGAACTCTAGATTGGATGTTATCCTTTGCATCCAAGAAGCTGCATTTTGTAATGTTTAGCCATACCCTGAGGATCAGTGCAGAATGCAGTCATCAAGCTAGAGTTAAAATAATCTAGCCAGTGACAAGATCTCTACCTAGGCAGAACGCTGAGGAAAAAACATTCAAGTGCGGGCCTTTGATCTATCTGTAGAGTGCTTTATTTTCCTCTGGACTCTGCTCAGATAAAAGTTACAGCTTCATTTTTTAAATTGTTTATTGCGGAAATGGCAGAGTTAAACATACACCCCACTCCTTAAAAAAAAAAAAACAAAAAAACCCTCGCTTCCCAGAGTGTTAATGCTAAAGGACTCTGAAGGGTCCTTCTCTTGCGTCTTTTCTTGTCTCTGCACACCAGAGCTGTTACCTGTAAATTTCTGTTCACAATTAATATCTAGAAAGGGAAGTCCTTGATCTCTGCTCATCACATGAGCAGGTCTGAGATGTCAGCATCTTTTTGAAGCTGCTCTCTGAAGCAGCTCTTTGAAACATTGTATCACAGTATTTTTACTTCTGGGGTCTGCAGAGCTCTACACAAAATCACTCTGCCAAGCACTGGACAAAGGGACAGAACAGCATCAATCACTCTCTCAGCCGCTGCATAGCTGGAACAAACATGCCTGGCACATTGCCCCGCGACCCCTAAAATGCCTTGCAACATGTCCCAGCGATCACTCTGTTGAGTGCCCGGTGGAAAAGAGAAAAGGCTTGTTCCGTTTCCAGCAATGGGGGTTGCTTGAGCCAGGCTCATTAGGGAAAAATTCTCGTTCTTTGTTGTATTCTGTGTCTGTGTTCTTACCCCAGAGACACGAGAAACCAGTTTCCTCAGCTTCTGGTTATAACTGATGAGATGTGAAATGAGTCTCCATGGGCCATGAGCACCCTTAAGGGGGTAACTGGAACTTGTCACATAAGCAGACCTGTGTCACTCTGTGCAAATATTTCAGCACTCAATGTTTAGGGCATAAAATCTGAAAAATTATAAAGCTCCTAATGAAGCTTAGATAATTGTTCTTTCCACGGGTCGTGCTGTTTCTCCAGTAGGGGGTTGAGCGTTTTTTCACTGTGCGATACAGTATTACTTCCTTTATGATTTTCTGTTTTCCAAAAGTTTGTGGGTACCCTGTTAAGGTATTTTTCCTATTTGCTCATAATAGTTTTTTGATGCCTCCTGGAATGTATAGGATACAAAAGATACTTTGGGGTAGGGATTTTTCAAAAGGAAGCTTCCAGAAAACATATTGTGTAGACAATTAGAGGATGCTGTTATTTCAGTTCCCATCTTGCCTTGATAATGCGCCATGAAGGAATAGGATCTTCCCTGGAAATACGGGGACCTTTTAAATTAATACTTAACTGCTTTTCATCATCTGGTCCCCTGTCTATGGACATTCGGGCAAGAGCCAAAAACTCACGAAGCAGCAGAGAGAGAAAGATCAGAGTTAATTTTTCTGTCCTTCCTCTCGGATGCTGCTATAACCAGCTATCCTGTCTAGTAGAACTTTCTGCAGTGATGGAAATGTTCCCTTCCTGCCCCGCCCAGTACAGTAATCTCCAGCGGCTTGTGGCTAGGGGGCACTTGACATGTATGGAATGCAAACAGGAGACCGGACTTTGAATTTTCTATGATTTAACTAATGTAAACGTAAATAGCCACACTTGGCTGGTGGCTGCCATATTGAAGGGCACAGCCCAGACCCGTCTCTGTTTCTGGCACAACCATTCCTGTCTCTGGACAAAAATAATGACCCTAGATGATTATTTTTATTTCACTCTAGAATTTTATATTAAAAATTTGCTTCCTATTACAGCTTAAGAGTTAGGAAATGTAAGCAGATGTTTATATATGAACAAAAAGATTAATTAGAGGTTTTAAACTGTTGAGCTTCAGACTTGAGATAAAAGAATAGTACTTTTAGTTTTTACATGGTTTAAGCATCTGCCATAGAAACAAATTTAGCTAAAATTGGAAATTGAGATCAAGGAGACAGAAAAAAAATTTTGTTTCCAAAGAGTTTCTCCTCTGTGGCAAAAGCAGTGAGATGTGGGGTTATGATTATAACCAACCATAACAAAAGTCAAGAAAATTTCTTCTCTTTTTCTGGAAGTAGCATTTCTAGAGCTAGTGTAGCATCTCCCAGCTTCCTCCTCTTTCTCTCTCTTTGGGTGAGACCGGGAGACCACTCTCCCGTGGGCTTTTCCTGTGTTTCCGACGAGAGACAGGACAACAGAGCAAAACATGGCCTGACTGGAAGGAAGACGTGGCCTCTGGTTCCAACTTTGCCATACGGGAGGCAGCCTGGGGCCCTGGGGGTTCCTCACTTCATCCCCACAATAACCCACAATTTCAGGTTCCCAGGCAGACCTGAAGTTACATGGCATCCATTAACTGTTACACTATCCTACCCCCCAGATCTTACCTTAACTGACATTACGTGAAGAATGTAAGCAAATTGGTGATGGAAGTGCTAGGTCAATGTAAAGGAATAAAGATAGGATGGGAACAGTTAATGTTGATGGAAAAGTTCACTCACGCAGCAGTGATAACACTGACGCTTAGCTCACGGGGATACTGGACAAAGGCTAAAGACTGGAAAGCCCAGAACAGATGTGGGTGGAGTTTTCGGAGAGGTCTGGCTTCCTTGCAGCCTCGATGACTCTCCGAGTGAATGGACCCTGCATTTAAGTACAACTGAATGTGCGCATTCTTTCCCTTCTAGACCTAGCTTCCTGCCGTCGCTTCGCAAACCTGCCTTGGGGTGTGCTCCCTCTCAGGTAGACAAGACCATTTGTGACATGAATGGTCCTCCATGCTAATCCCATGCTCTGAAGTTGGTTCCCCGTTAACCTTCCATTACGTTTTCTGCAGTGGGTAGTCATGAGCCCTGTACGGTGCTGTCAAAGTTATGGACTGCATAAAAAAGGTTGGACTGCAGCTGGGTGCACCCTGCAGTAACCCCAGAGTGCTCCCAGAAAACGTAATGTCTCCAGAGAGCAAGATTGCATTTTCAGTACCCATGAGCGTTTTACGGACCCTGACTCTAATCCCAGCCTTTGGTCCCCCGCAGACTTCTTTGTCCAGGGAAGCATTGCTAAACTGTGTCATCGGGGTCTTTCTTACCAAGTACCCTATCTTATGACCTGCAGTCAGCCCTTCCGCTAGGACGCTCCGCGTCTACTGGGGCTGCTGCAAGTTCAGTAATTACCCAGGCAGAAAATAATGTGTTATCCCTTCTCAAGATGTTTTTGCTTGTAATCACCTAGGTTTCAGAGAAATGGACTGGCAGCCCTTAATAATCTAAACTCTCCGCACATTTTTCATAAAGCCTAGAAGCATGGAAAAATTCAAAATGGAGGCAAAACTAGGAGGATTTTTTTTTTTTTATTTAAGATCAGAAACTATGCATCTGGACTACCACTTGCTTTAGAAGTTGGGGAGAATCTTAAATAAACTCTTAATGATTCCAGCTTATACAATGCATTTGTCCTGAAATATGTGTTTTTGTTCCTACGTCAGCCATTAATCTGAGAACTATTACAAGGCCTTAACAACCTTTTTCTTTATATTCCCAATAAAGAAGAACCCAACTCAACAAATAGCTTTTCTGCCTAGTATTGTTTTATTAGTGTAATAGCTTTATGGCAATGATTCATTCAGTGGTTTATTGGCAACGAGGCGAGTAACCAAGGTGAAATATTTTCTGTGATGTGGTAATTTGCAGACCGAGCATCTTTGACTTTGTGTAGTGTTGATGAAAGCCTCCAGCCGGCTTAGTCATTGTCCAATTAGTAAAAGTCAACTTTGCCTGGCTTCGTGTGGTTTTCCAGGTGGTGGAGAGGGTTCAGGATTTCCATCTCCGTCCACAGGTAAAAAGAAATGGCTGGCTGCTTGTCGGTGGATTTTATTTCAGGGTGTGCTCACAGCTGTGAACCCTAGCTGGGAAAATAGGAAAGCATTTTGGGATGGTCCTATTAGTAAGTGTCCTTCGGCAGCTGTAATTAATTCCTTCCCTTTGAAAGTGACCAGATAACCTATAACCAGCCAGTTTGCCTTCCCAGATAAAGGCTTTTCATTTCTCTTTTAACTTTCCATGCTCTCTCAAGTCAGCTTTGCTTTCTTCCTCCTTTCAATGCTGTGTACCTGAACCTAAGACTATTACATGGTCTGAAAGCTTTGAACATCAGTGCTGTGATCAGCCAGGAAAACAGCGCAATTTCCACTTTGTTCGAACAGTGCTTTCCGGTCTTGTCTGGGAAAGTGTCTGCCAATTCATTTTTCTCTTCTTATCAGCAAAACACATCTATACTGTGCTCATGTTGCTTAATATAAAACACAGGGAAAATCCCTGAACAATCAGGAGACCAGTTAGAAGACCTGCTGGGGCTCTGCGCTCATCCCACCTCACACTCTTTTGTTTGCCATCAAATGAGAAAGCAGATTGCCAGAGCCCTGAGTGTCCAGGGGCCGGTCATCACCACTCATTAGGCTTTCATAGCAGCCTTATGCTTATCATATGCTCATCGTCTTAGGAGTCATTTCCCCCCCCTGCATCTGCATACCCCCCAAATCTGGTTTACATAGAATCTTGGACAACAGTGACTAATGCATATTGGAGAAATTCTCGGAGAAGCTGTAGGACTCAAACCTCTAACACCTTCCAAGGCACTCCGACCAAATATAGCCCAGCTGGACTTGCTGATCCGTCATGGGCGGGGCTATTCAGTACCCCAAAATGTCAGACATTCTTCAACCCTTATTGTTGGGTGGTTTTTTTGGGGAGGAGTAGTTTTCGTTTTTGGTTTTTTACTTATTTTTTTCATGAAGAAGCCACATCTTTTTTCCCCTGTAATTCCCTGCAAGAGAGACCACGGGAGCCACACACAGAAGGCAGATGCCATTGTGATTCTGCTCTTAGTACTTTAAATCTTCTTCCCAAATTGTGAAATCGTTAAAAGTGGCCCCACACGTGGGGCACTTATTTTGGCCTCTGCTTTACTTCCTAGCTTGTGTGTCTGTCCCCTGTGTTTGTTGGAGGTGCAGGGAGGGAGGTAATGAGAGGAGATGCAGGGAGGAGGTGAAAAGGAGAGAACAGGAGTGTTCACTTCTCCGTTGGCGCCACCACCCACCCAGGGGGTGCTTCTTCACCAGCTGCTATGTTCGCAACATGCTACTGAGCCATACAAACATCAGTACCCATTTCGTAGGTGAGCTTATCCACAGGGGGTCAAATTCTAGTGCCAACTGTGTAACTTTGGGCAAGTAGCTTAATCTCTCTCCTTACGTATGAAAATTAGAAAAGTACCTAATAGTGTTGCAGGAAAGCCCAAGTAGTATTTGCAAAGTCACTTTCAACAGTGTGTGGCTTCTAGTAAATACTCAATATTAGTAGTAGTTTCTGCTATCCTTGCCTTCGAAGCACTTATAATCCAATGAATAGAGAGAATACAAAATAAATCGGGTGAATTGTGCAATACATGTTGTTGAAGGAGAAAAAGAGAACAACAGAATTAGCTCTCAGAACTGCCGTTTGGACTAGTTCACCGACAGCAGATACTTTTGAGTCTTTGTGCCTCTGGCATGAACCCTCGTCGGGTGCCCCTTTCCGCCCCCACTGTGTACTCATAAACATTCTTTTGAAGCTCTGCTACACGTGGGAATCCATGTCCCACTCCGTGTTAGCAGAGACCAGACCCCGTAGCTTGATTGAACATGGAACAAACGAGGTGCTTTATTCTCCTCTTCGCTGGGGCCCCCACGGCCCAGCCTGGCTACACAAAGGGGTACAAAGTGCTGAGGGCTCTGAACCTGCTTTTCCTAGTCGATGGTTTTGGTCTGTTTGTGACTCAAGACAGGTAATGATGTGAGGAGGAGCAAATTGCTGGGAAGAGAATTCATAGTCAAGAGTCGGAAGAATGCCAGGAAAAGTCTTGTAGACTCTAAAGCAAGATTTTGCCACAGACCAGAGTATGCCAGCCAAAGCATCTCAGTCCCCACTCCAGTTCCCATGTGGAGCCTGACGCCCTTTGGAGACACAAAAGGAAATCATAGGCACATCGAAGAGGCGTTGGTCCCAGCGTGCTGGGACCCTAGCGGACAGAGCTCTGTGTGCGAGTCGAAGTGGCCAGAAGACCCCGCACAAGGCACACGGCCTCCTTGAGGGTCTCAGTCCTCCCGTCTATAAAATGCGGATAAGGATACATCCTCTACTAGGTGACAAGGTTTGTCGCAGGGCAAAAGAAATAATGTGTCTGTGCAAATTCTTTGAAAAGTATAAAATACAACATCATTGTATGGTAGCGCCTGCTGGAGTTTAGAGTCTGAAAGGAAAAAAGAAAAAAGTCAAAAGTAAAGGCTAACAGGAACCTAAGAACATACGGAAGAGAAGCAGTTAAACCGACCAGAGAGTATCTGTGATAGTGCATACATGATTTCCCAAGTAATTGTGTCTGAGATGAGTAATGTTTGATTTCAGCGAAGGCCACAGCAGGGAAGAAGTTAGCTTCCATGTAAACTTATAAAATTAGGTTTCAACTTAGATTTTTTGTAAGTTTTTATTTAAATTCCAATGTGTTAACCTACAGTGTAATATTAGTTTCTGGTGTACAGTGTAGTGATTCAACACTCCCATAGATCACCTGGTGCTCATCACGACAGGTGCACTCCTTCATCCCCAGCACCTGTTCCCCCATCCCCCCACCCCCTCCCCTCTGGCCACCATCAGTGTGTTCTCTGTAGTTCAGAGTCTGCTTCTTGACTTTTCTTTCTCTCTCTTTTTCTCCTTTGCTCATTTGTTTTGTTTCTTAAATTCCACATATGAGTGAAATCATATGGTATCTGTTTTTCTCTAACTTATTTCCCTTAGCATGATACTCTGTAGCTCCATCCATGTCATTATAATCAACTTATTAATTCAAAAAATTAAGGATATGCTTTATGAAGAAATGCTGTACTGATACACAGATCAATGTAGAAGATTTTAGTGGAGCTGGTCTGTTTTGAATTGTAAAAGGTATTATGTATTAACAAATGTATAAGAACATAAACACATTTTCACCTAATTATGCCCAGTAATCACCTTCATCATGGCAAAAATATTTTACATTAACCAAACATTTAGCCACAGCAGCATATTATGTTCATGACTTTATTCATTGTTCTAAGGAGTAATCAATGCTCGGTATTGTATTTATCCATAACATATGCTCTGTTCAGAAGAATGTTTATGACAGTATTTGGAGCAACACTCAGCACAAAACAGGCCCTTTGAAAGCTATCGATAAGTGCCTGCCAGGACCCCTGAGCTCGTCTTGGTACTGCAGGCTCGTAATGTAGGACGTGTTACTCTGTGGTCAGCAGACCACTCTACCCACGTCAGGAAGCTGGTGATTGTAAAAACATTTACATGAGTGCATCATAATAGCAAGCCCAGAGTTCCCATTGGCTTCTCAAAAGGTTGGGAACCAGTTGTCATAAAGAGCATAAGGGGTATCTAGTTGTGCTAAACTCTCAGGGCTTTCTAACAGGAGATATGCTTCTCGTCCTAGGTATTAAAGTTTGAACCTGGCCATTTCAAGAGGAGGGGCAGAACAAAGCACATGGCTCTCGTTGACATCCAGTTGGATCATCATGAACGCTGTGACTGCATTTGCAGCTCACGACCGCCTCGATAATAGAATGTGCACGTACTTACGCTGAGCATGAATGAATCTTTAGTTTAAGGAGGGTGTGGTAAGAGACCCTTTTCCCACCAGCAACCGAACTTAACTACTAGCCTGCAAAGCAATGAATACAAATGGTTGCTGAGTTTCAACCTAGCTTTGTTAGCCATGGCAAGTAGAAAGGTATATCATCAACTTCTATATCCCAGAATATAGGATTGCATTTAATAATAGTGTCGGAGAATATGTACATGTATCTATACATACGTATATATTCTCATGTCTATGTGTAAATACATCAAATGGTTTATTCAGTGTATACAACCAGATACACTAGAGCTGACATATGGTGGAGTTATTTAGACCCTTAAAATCTTTTGACTAATTCAGGGACATATTAAATAGATGAAACATGGCCTTGGAAGACTCAGAAGATTATTTTGTTTATTTTTAAATTCGAATCACAAAACAATCTTGGATCTTGCTCTTTTAAAGAAAACACCTTGTATATTAAAAGCCAATAAATTAGCTTTTCTTATATAAACATCTTAATTATATAAAAAAAGGAAAACTATGGTTTCTGGGGAAAAGGCACAGACCGTTTTTCCCATGGGACGCACTACATGCTTACCTATGTAGACAATAATTACCTATCTCCAGAAGCATGCCATAATAATATAGATGCTTTAGAAATTAAGTCATTAAGTCTTCTTTTTATGCATTTTGCTGAGGCATGCAAATTCACTTAACACCTGTCTCAAAAAAATTTCTCAGAAGGTTTATTATTATAATCCTCCCAGAGACAATTTATTAACTGTAGCAGAATTTTTAATTGTTTCATTCTGAAAACCCCTCCACAGAAGTAACTCCTTTTAGAAAATGGCATGGGGACTCTGTATGAGCCTTTCAAAATAGTGTTCGTTGAAAGATTTGGATAGTTGAAAGTAAGAACAGTGAACACAGAAATATTAACAGAACTGGAAATCGGATGGAATATTTGATTGGATCATATTTAATAATGGGTCCAAAACTCTCCAAAAAACGTGGATTTACAATGGCATTTAAATTTGGCAAGAATCATGAATTATTTATAGCCTAAAAGCTTTTGTGTATTAAAACCACCCGATTTTATTGATGTACATTCCTAATCGTACCCTCACTCACCATTCTGAATTCCTGTTTCTGAACTAAGTGAAATCAGATCTGGGGTCTGTGGTTCTCTCCAGATCTGTGGAGCTTGTTCTAAGAAGCTGTCCTGCAAGTTACAGGAACACAAATTTGGCCTCTCTCCACCACTAGAAACCTTGAGTTTGCATCGGCAGTCATTCTTGGTATTTAAGGTCATTTTCCCTCCCTGGCTCCTCAGTGTCTATTGGAAAGGAGATACTCCCGGAGTAGGAGGTGATTCATCATTCTCCGAAGCAAGGCTCTTGGGAGAGAGCACCACTGAAATCCAGATAGCTCCAGGGCTACTCAGAGAGAGTTCAGTTTTCCTGCTGCCTTGAAACAAAAAGAGAGCCGATTTCTTCCATGAGTCTAGGTCCCTAGTGACTAGAACCAGTTTGAGTGAGGGGTGTGTGATGCGGTCTGGGTAAGCCCCGGGGCTCAGATGCTTGGACTTCAAAGCATTGGCCACGTTCTCTACCATCCTTCATCGTATCCTCCTTTCCTCTCCGCTCTTTGAGACAAAAGGCCATTGCTTATTGAAGATGGGAAACTTCCCTAGAAGGGCCCAGTGTTCTGACCGCAGGGAGTGAGTGGTGAAATCACTGTCTTGTTCAGCTGTCCAGAATCCCAGAGCACAGTCAGAAATAGCCAAAGCAGAGGCCCTCACCGTCAGGGACCTCCTTGTCCCCTTCACGAGCACGTGCAAGTTTACCGTGAAAACGTCGGCGTGGGTGCCCAAATCAAAATGTGTGTCACCTCTCTGGCTTGTGCAGCTCACGTCGTAGCTGTAAGTATGAAAAATTAGAGTGTTCTACCCCAATTTTCAATAAACCTTCCAGGCTGCAATAACCAGGATGGTTTTCGGCTAAAGCCCTATCTGTACTTTTTATTTATTAGCTGAAATGTAAGCAGGCATATTCACTCACTTTTCTTTCTTCTTTCCTGAGGGTTTTATTAAAACGTCTCCCTTGGTTATCTGTTATCTATTGCACTTGCAACATGTAGCCAATAAATCTGTTTCATTGCCATCAAAGGAATAAAAAAGCTCGCCGTACAAATTACATTCCAAAACAAACCCTAATCAATCCGCATTTCTGCATGGCTCACTCACCTGGAATAATGCCTTTCATTCAATATGTTCTTATAGGGCAGAACACTTTCATAAGTGGAATTTGTTATGTTTTTTGTCATATCGGTAACACGCGGCTTTTTCCTCTCGCAGCATTTTTCTATAGCAAATGTAATATGGCTCTTATCTTCATGAAAAATATATATTGCTTTTGAACAAAACTACTCCATTATTTAGTTCCCAATTGCAGTTTTAAAAGGTATACAGCGTTACGACCTTACTTTCACCAATGCATGCAGCTATTTGGGATGACAGGATGGGGTGATGGCTGAGGGCTTGGTTTGAGGAAGTAGGACCAGCGCGAACCTTGTCCCCTAGCAGCAGGCTTTTGCTCAGTCTCTGTCCCGGAGCTGGGCAGCCGGCGGGACTTGAGGTCTCGCGGTCTTGTTGCTATTTGTGCCTCTGACTGTTTGCCCGCGGGCCTTTTAACAAAATACAGTCGCCTCTGACATTCCTCACTGAAGAGAGTTCACAGGCTGTCTCTTCCTTAGGGGCCTGACATCAGTACCATCCCGACTCATTTCCCTTTTGTCTGCCCTGGAAGTCTTTCTAGATGGGCCCCCCAGCCGGAGGGGGAGTGCTCCCAGCTCAGGGAGGCCAGAGAGGGGCTGCGAGCCTGTGGACTTTGATGTACGATCAGGGGACGGGGGCACGGGGACACGGAGTGTAAAGAGAGCTCTGCTCACTGCAAGAATTTGAGCTTTTGCTTGCAGCTTGGTCTTCATCATTGTCCTACCTGAGGCTGGACAGGAGCTGATCCATGTTGGCTGAAACTCGGCCACTTCGTGGAGTGAGCGGTTTCCGGTTGTTCAGGGAAAGGGAGTAGAGACGTGTATTCTGTGCCAAGAATCAATTTTACCATCGGAAATACCAGCTAACGTGTGAGTCAAAGTGTGGGTAAGGACAGGAAGGAAGGAATCAAATAATGCTGTGCATGGTTGTTAATTCGGATAACTTGGTTTTCATGATTTTTATATAAAAATCCAAGTTATCTGAATATATATATATGTATACAATTATCTGAATATATATACAAGTTATCTGAATATATATATATCTGTATCTGTGTGTGTGTGTACACACAGTATCTTAATGCAGATACCTTAATCATCTTATGTTATTTCCTGAAGTATACATGTGTCCAGTTTTACTCCAAGAACAACTTTACAGATGTCCAAATTGTTCATATCCTCCCAGGGTCCTCAGGTAGAATATTAAATTAAAATTCATAGATTGGTATTCATGCCTGAAATCCCAGGAAGTACAGTTCTGTTTATTGACAGCTCTGATCAAATATGCTGGAAGAGAGAATATTTATAATTCACTGGTTTTTATTGACATCCGCTTAAATTGTGTTGTTTTTAAAGATCAAGTTAAGGACCTGCCGCCCTGGGATGGGAGGGCGTGTCTCCTGAGTGTCGGGGGGGCGACATCACCAAGGGGAATGAATGATTCGCCTCATTTAAGACTTCATGCTTGCCCTTCAGGTTACAGTCCAGAATTTGCAAGTTAACTTGTATCTTTTTTAAATAAAGTTCATTTATATAGAGATCTGTAAAAATTCTTTAGCAGACCCCATTAGAAGAGAGTGGGGCCGTACTTCACGTAGCATGTTATGGGCCAAGAAACCTTCATTTTCCAATAAAACCATTTGACTTCTTAATTATTTTATTTTATTTTATTTTTAAAGATTTTTGTTTATTTATTCATGAGAGACACAGAGAAAGAGAGAGAGAGGCAGAGGGAGAAGCAGGCTCCCAAGGAGCAGGGAGCCCGATGCGAGGCTCGATCCCAGGACCCCGGGATCATGACCTGAGCCGAAGGCAGACGCTTAACCATCTGAGCCACCCAGGTGCCCCTGACTTCTTAATTATTTTAAACTGTTGGATACAGGCTGCCAGGTTTAGTGGCCAGGAACCAAACATTAAGATTACTCTTGGATTCCATTTATATTTTACATAATTCCTATAATATAGATTCTCTTTTAAGAACATATTCTGGGTCATGTTCTCTAACCTCCACCTCTCTGGTTGAGGTCATATTACAAATTCATTCTCTTCTGGTATCTTCTGGCCTTTCTCTTCTCCCTGTGACCCCCACATTCCTTTTTTTCCCACCAGTCTCTACTCACCAATCTTAGGGTCAGAGAGAATCAGGATCAGCGTCTGCTTTGGGAAGGCACAGGAGGTGGGGGCCATTCAAGGAGACCAGGAGAGCAAATGGTTTCCCAAGGGAGCACTTCATAGGCTTAGAGTGCCAACTGTTAAGAAATCACTGGTTTTTGTGAGTTGAGCACACCAAATGAATGTTTGCCATTATTGTCCATTTTGGTACAAACTTCAGAATGTGGTGGTGGATATTTATTGACTTCTATCAAAGGATACCTAGTCACCATCAATATGGGGAAAACTGACTAAATTAAATGTTTCATTAGTTCATTGAACAACAAAATGTATAAAAACACACTGTGTATCAGGATTGCTTTGGGGTCAAAACACAAGGTCTACAACAAAGGATAAAAGTAGAGACAGATATTCTAGGGGGGATAAACAAGAAGAACAAAGATCTCCCAGCAAAAATGCATGAGGGAAACATGGGCCTTTCAAAGAATGAAAAGTAACGTGGCCAGAAGGAATCACAATTGGTGGTAAGTTTGAGAAGGCAGAAAAGCAGCTGGTTACACAAAGTCTTGTGTGGATGGCTAACAAAGTCCTATCCTACATGGAGGAGAGGAAGCCATGGGGGCTTTTAAGCATAGCGGGGCTGCAAGCGTCACAATGTGTCAGAGAGAACATTAAAAGGTCTTGGGTACAGTGACCAGCCGACCACTTTCTGGACCTGTTTCCTCATTCACAATCAGAAGGGTAAGATAGAGGCTTTCCAACAGGACATTTCTGCATTTTGGAAATGGCAACCTGCAGGAAGGATGGGGTTAGGAATGTGAATTATAAAGCCCCTCAGAGTTCTTGGGACGAGACGTCGAGACAGGAGGAGTGTAGGCCCCATGTGGTTGTGGGGGCTCTGCACTGCAACTTCCAGAAGGTGGGCTGGGACTGCCAGGAAAGTTAACAGGAGGATTCAGAGGTCTTAATGACTCAATTGAGGAGAGCAGTGCAGGCTCAGGGCATGTCCTAGAGGAAGAAGACCTGTGAGCTGGACTTTTGAGAGTATTCTCCACAGAACGCTAGGGAGGCAGGAAGAAGAGGCTAATTTTGAGAGAAGAGATCACAGTTGTCTCAAGAGCCAGGGCTTGTGACAATGACTGGGAGTCATCCTTAGAGGAGCAAAGCTGAACCCACAAGAAAGAAGATAAATAACAGAACCTGAAGGACACCCGTAACTACAGAGAAGACGAAAAAAGAGGAATTCGCAAAGCTCACAAGTAAGTGTTCCAAAATGGGGTAAAAACTGAGGGCTGGTTAAGTGTCTGGCATGTGCCAGACATAACAGATTTGGAAAACAATAAAACAGCCACGTTTTCTGCCCTTATCAAACTAGAGAAGGGATGGTAGATATTAAATAAATAATCCATTGTATTTGTGAAAAGCAAAAGCATGAGGTGAGATGACATTAAAAGGTAGAACTTCCATCAGGGGAGGGAAGGGATTCCTTAAGAAATGGTCATTTCCTGGAGACATTAGAGCAGGAACAGAAATTTGAAGAAATGTTAGCCAGCAGGAAAGTGGAAGGAGACTGTGGTATTAGAAATGAAAATAAACTTGTGACTCGATTAGAGAAGTATTTTGAATTTTTAATTGACCACAGTTGATTTGGATTGGGTGTTGAGAAGGAGGTGGAGGAGGATGCCAGGGATTTTTCTAGGGCTTCTGGCATAACAAACTGGGCAGATAGAGATGCCATTTATTGAGATGGGGGCCCGGAAAGAAGAAGAGATTTGTGGTAGATCAAGAACTCAATATGAGACAATAATGGCAAACCGTCTTTGACATACTCAGTCAGAGATACTAGGTCGGCAGTTAGGTCTGTGGGTCTGGAGCTCAGAAGAGGGTCTGGGAGTGAGATATAAGCTTGGGAGCTATCATAGCAACTAAAAGTTACAGGAATGGTTGAGTCACTTGGAGGAGGGGGAAGACCAAGGGGGAAAAGAATGACAGGACAATTGCAAGAGTATAAAAACAGCCTGGGTGGCAGGGGAAGAGATTGTTCCAAGGGGCTGGGCCTGTTTCATCAAGTATAGCAGAGAAAATGTAGCAGACGCCGACTGATTTACGTGCCCAGAAACACCCCTCCGGACACCTCCCCCCCATGCCTTTTCGGGGAAAAGCTGCTTTATCTATGGCCCTGTGCAGAACTTGGTGCCGTGATGCCCAGCCCACTCCTGAAGCCACTGTGTGGCTGTTGAGCACCTAGAATGTGGCTGTAGGCTGAAGACGTCTTCGTTGTACTAACTTAAACTGATTTACATTTAAGTATGAACGGCCACACATGAATAGTGGCTACTGCATCAGACAGAGCAGCTCTGGACTTGAGGCATCACCCACAGACTTGCAGCCAAAGTAACATTTCACGGAACGACACACACACATCTCAGCTGAATATCCAGGGTAGCGGCACCTGACCCAAACTAGGACCTAAGTCTTTCTCACGATATATGGAACTGAGCAGAAATTCAGATAGTCTCCCGGGTTGCTGGGATGGTAAGATGTAAACATCAATGGCTATTGGCACCACACTGCTTCCACATGGACCAGAAAGCCCAGAGAAGGTCCCGCGACAAGACAAAGGAAGGGGAAGAATGACACCAGGGTGGGGCGCCTGGGTGGCTCAGTTGGTTAAGCGACTGCCTTCGGCTCAGGTCAT